GAGGAGACTTTCCTTGATGCTTTTAGAAGAAGTTTCTTCCACCTGTGAAACCAACAGGAGAGCCGCCTTGTTAAGGAGCCAGGTTGTCATACATTGTTACTAAGTCTCCAAGCCTCACAAGAAGTTTCTGTTCCGGAAACCGAATGTATCCTGCAAGCCATGTTTTTCAACCTGTGCTGAACTTGTGACCCCAGGATATATGCCCAGCCTTGTTAAACCCCTGAACACCGGTGGTGACCCCCCTTCCACATGACGTATTCTTGCACTTACCTACCCCGGCGGCAGCCTTGGCCTCCGAGGCCCCCACTCTTCTGTCCGTGTGCTAACAGCCGATAATCTCCACAGCTGTTTTCTATCAACCTAACCCTCCCCCATAAAAGGGACCTCAAAAGCCAGGGAGGGGCTGCCCTCCGAAACCCTGACTTAGGGAGAGACTGCCATCTGGCCAGTCCCTTGTACACCTCTAAATACAGCTTGCTTTAATCAGGCAGCTGTGGAAATGTTTTTCCCCACTCAGGTCTAACACCCCGAAGCTGAGAAGAGGGACTCGGACATTCAGAAGGGTGACCTGGTCCCACCCACACCATCCTCACCATAGAACCATACACCCATTTTATAGATGGTAAGCCAATGCCAAGCTTTCCAGGGAGAAGAGACTGTCACTCCATTAGCTATGTGGCAAGCATGTGGGCCCCAGGCCACCCCCGCACCCGCCTCTCGACTGGCAGGAAGCCTCTGCGAGGCCTCTTACCTGCTGGGCTTCCCTAGGCCACAGGCCTCATGTGTCTGTCTGTCCACTTCCTAGCCGCTGTATTTACGGGCCTGGAGGCCGCAGGCAGGGAGTATTTGTGCCCAGTTAGTGGAGATCTGGGGGCGGTGGCTGGGCTGAGATCCAGGCAGCCAAAGTTCGCAGGGCCCCGCCTCCACCCCCCAGCTCCACCTGCCCTGACTCCCCACGGTCTAATGGGTCCAGGTCCCTGGGGCAGGCTCCTGTCCTTGCCCTCTGCTCCTCCTCTGGGAATGGGGACAGTTCTGCCTGCCAGGGCCTCTGAGGACCCCTGCTGGAACTGCACTTACCCTTGGAAGATGAATCACAGAGATTCCTGACTTGGACCGATGACTCCCAGTCCTCAGAACTGGCAAGGAAGCCCCCTAGTTCAACACAGGGAGACAAGGCCTGCCTGCTGTCCTGCCTGGATCCACCCGGAGAGGCGCTTTCCATGAAGCTGCTTAGGACAGAGAGCAGTGGGTGGTGACTTGGTTGTGGCTGCACCAGCCTGGTACCTTGGGGACCATCAGAAAAGAAGCCCCCTTCCTTCTGCCTCTTTAGTGTCGCCCTCTGCCCTTGCGTCTCTCAGGGCACCTCCCCACTTCTTAAGGCTGTGACCCATGGGGTTCAGTATAGGTCACTGATGCTTCAAACAAAATTGCAGAAGGTCTTGCTTTAGTCTTTGTGGTCTCCAAGGACGCTGTAACTGAAATGGCTTTATTTGCTCTGTTTTGGGAAACAACACTCAGACTCCGTTTACAGATGTGGAAACTGAGGCCCAGGCAGAGTAGCTAAGGATGCACTGAACGCAGGAGACAGTTGGACCTGGAAGACAGGGTCTGACCCTTTCCGTTCCCTGCTGCCTCTATAGGGTCCTGGGGGAGGGCAAAGGAGAAGTCCTTGTCCCCTGAACCAGAGCTGTCCCTCTCACTGAGCTCAACTGTCCCCTGGCAGGAGCCAAGCACTGTTCAGAGGTCGCTGAGCAGAGAGGCAAGACGGAGGCGGTGAACTGTTGCAGCCCGCTTAAGCGTGCAGTCCGATTACCTGTAGTTCCTGCCGTAGGTTCAAGCTGACCAGTTTGGGGCTTCTGGGTGGCCAGGGTCCTCCGGGCTAACTTTCCTCAAAGCCACGCAGACCGCTGACTCCGGTAGCCTGAGCCTGCCCTCTTACCCTCCCCCGCCCTGTGTCTCTGCGAAGTCGATGTGGGGAGGAGAGTGGGCACCTGTGGCTCACCTTAGTCCTCCGCAGAGCACCGTCCTTTGGCGGAGCGCTGGAGGCGGTGGAGTGTGGTCCTGAGCACCCTTTCTGGAGTCTCGGGCCTCAGCTGAGAGAGGCAGAGACCTCCATGAGGCCTACGCAGAGGGTCACCGAACCTTTTGTTGACAGTTCCCAGCAGCTGTTCACCAAGCCCTTACCCCGCAGGTGGCGGGGGTGTCGGAGGAGATCGGAACGGATCAGTCCGCCCGCCCCCGGGCCGGTCCCCTTCCCAGTGCCCGCTGTGCTCCAGCCCAAAGCCTCGGTGTTCAATCTGAAAGCCGCCAGCTGCTGGGGTCCTGCTGACTCCTGCAGGGACTCAGAAGTAGGAATTCTTGGCTGTTTAGGCGGGTGGCAGTGTTCTAGCGCTTCCGGCCAGGAGGCTTGGAGCTACGGGGCGGGCAGCCGGGAGGAGTGAGTGCCTCACTTCCTGGGCTTCTCTGTTTCTGCCGTTTCTAGACTGGAAATGGGGCTGGGCGCCAACATGTAAACACAATCGTACAATCGTAGTTTCTCTCTCTCTCTCTCTCTCTCTCTCTCTCTCTCTCTCTCTCTCTCCCCCCCACCCCAGGAAACAGAGGGGCCCCTGAGAAGCTGTTGGATCCTGTATGGGAAGTGGGGGTGAGGCACCTGTGGGGGGTAGGGGCGGAGCAAGAGCAAGCCTGGAAAACTGGCGTGGGCAAGAACGCCCCAAGGTGAACACGGCTGAGCAATGCCCATCACAGTATCCACAGGCCCAGCATCTCTCTAGTTAGGGAAGCTGAGGCCCAGAAAGGCATCAGAACCAAGCTCCCCGCTCTCCCCAAATTGTAAATCTTGGTCCAAGAGGGCCTTGGGACCTGAGATCCATGCCTGAGGGTCATGGGCCCAGCGGCTTTGGAACCCCTGCCTGACCCTCCACTCTCCTGGCCAGGCTATGGCTCCTTTGGCCTGCCTGTCACATCTTGGTCAAGGTCCATCAGCCTTGCTCCCTGTGCCCGGTCCGCTGAGTCCTCAGGGAAGTGCCACTGGCCACCCCACCCCCACCCCAGCTTCTCCAGGCTGCTCTGTCCTGTCCATCCTTCACAAATGGCCTCCCATCTCCAAAGGTGACATCTGAGACACACTGTGTGTCATGTAGCTGCACCTCCAGCTTCCTTCTGGGATGGAATCTCCCAGGCAACAGTGCTGGCCACTCTGAGAGGGAGGCTGTAGCCTTGCAGGGCTGTGGCATCTGCCTGGTGTTTTCTGCCAAGGACTAGGGGATGACAGTCGGCTTTGTCTTTCTCTGAAAGCGCTTTGGATGCCAGCCCCGGGGAATGAGCCAGGGGAGGACCTGGGAGGCTGTGCCACCACGGACCAGGTCAGAGACCACACGGCCTGCACTGGGGGAAGGAGCTGAGGAAGTGGACCAGGGAGAGGGCGGAGGAGGGGAGGGGAGTCAGCACCACAAGAAGGCTAGGGCCCAGCTCGGGTGAAAGGTTCACTGAATGAGAAGTTTAAATTTTGAGCCTTGCTGAAGTGGAGACCTGGAAGGGTAGCCATGTGGGCACTGGCCTTGTGGTCAGGCCACCATAACTAGTTCTCGAGGATGCCGAGGTGGGGACACTTGGCCCCTTCTCAAAGAGTGCATGGCTGGTTGGGGGGAGGGAGAGGTTGAGGGGTGCCTTTGTTTCTTGTCCCTCAACCCTGCCTTATTAATTTGATTTAGGTGCCAGGCAGGGCCAGCTCTGGCTGGGTACTGGGGACATGGCAACCAGCCAGAGCTGGCTTCTGTCCCCTTGTGTCTACTTTCTAGAGAACAGACGCTTGGGCAGGGGGGTGTGGGAAGTCTCTTTGTATCCCTCTGGAGGGCACCGAGAACCCTCTGAGATGCGCAGGTACAGCCCCAGAGGACAGCTCTGTCCTCTGCCCTCTGCACTGTGCCAGGCAAGACTTTTGGCGCTTGGTGCTGCCTCATAGGAGCTAAAGCTGCCACCTCTGAAGGGACAGCGTCCTGCTTCCTGTGGCTGTGATAAAGACGCCATGACCAGAGCTACTTGGGAAGGAAGGGTTAACAGGCCTGCACAAGCCTGTCACTGAAGGGAGTCAGGACAGGAACTCAAGGCAGGAACCTGAAAGCAGGAACGGAAACAGGCTGTGAAGGAACACTGCTTACCGGCTTGTTCCCCAGGGCTTGCTCAACCTTTCATACCCCAGGACCACCTGCCCAGGGATGGCTCCACTCACAGTGAGCTGGGCCTCCCACCATCACTCATTAATCAGGAAAATAACCCACAGACTTGCCTGCAGGCCAGTCTGATGGGGACATCTTCTCAATTGAGGTTCCCTCTTTCCAAATGACTCTAGCTTATCTCAAGTTATCAAAACACTAACCAGCACAATCCACACAAGGGCAGGAGGCTGCTGTACACAGATATATGCTCCTACCTGAGTCCTTCCTACACCAGACCTGGCCTCCCAAAGCCGTTTACAATCGGGCCTGCCCCCCCCCC